GGTAGGCAGATACTACTGAAACTGCAAACACAAGGCTTTACGGGACCTCTCTGATCCCAGCTGCTGCTGAATGATAAATATAGGCAAGTGATGTATTTTCCTAAAGCTTTCCTGAAAGGAGACCAGGCTTTGTTCTCTAATGAGGGTGGGGCTGTGGAACCCCAGAAAGAAATGGCCTCTGACCATGAGAAAACAAGAACTAATGTAAATATTGTATTGACTCCAGTGGGATAAAGGGAGGAAAGAAGAGAACTGTGGTAGATAGAGAAACCTATACTGAAGTTTAGGTTGATAAACATGGATGTATTTTGATATCAGAAAAGGAGAACCTTCAGGATATCCCTGTGTGAACTCCAGATGTGACAGTGGACCCTGTTTTCTTTGAAACATCCAGAGGAAAGCTTGTTTCCAAATGTTCAGTCTTAGCTTAGAAACCACCTGAAAACTGACTGGAACCCTTTACCTTGTGGAATGTTAAAATATTTGTCTCACTAGTGTCACAGGCAGGTTTTGAGATACATATCCATGTATCTGTGAGTGAAGGAGCACACAACTCTTTGAAAGCATGGCTATAGTTTGTAAGATATATCTTCAGCCAGTTTTAGCAGTACAAATTAATTGTGTTTTAAAGATTTAGATGTTAATTTTGGGAGTACGAAATCACATGTTTGGGAGACCAAAATAAATATATATCCTTGTGAATGACAGTTGTTTCTGTAGAGGGGGATAAACGTATATGTGAGTTGTTCGTAAGGCAGCTGAATAAATATCTAGGCACATAAACTAAATTAGGATGTTTTCATACATGACTGTCTTCTCAAAACTTGTGTCTAAGCAATAATTTTAAAGCTTCAAATTTAATATCACCTTAAGAGAATTGAGGTGAAGGAAGCACTTCTGCCAGTGCTGTGGTTTCAGTCCCATAATAAATTGACATAGCAATATACACAGAGAACAAAGGAAGTAGTTTAGAAATTTCTTTCTAACGGAAGTTTAAGTTTTGAAGAACACAGAGACATCTGAAAGGTGAAATTCACAGATTTTTCATGCTTGCAGGTTTTTATAGCCTCTGGTAATGCATGTCCTTACTCTGACATCACATGTATGTGAAAAATGGATGTAATATTTAAAGATGTCTTTTGACAAAGAAAGTATTTCCATCTCCAGAGGTGAGATGTTGCTTTAAAGGATGATGAGCAAGTTCCAGATGTGTTTTTCAATCTCTGGGCTTTCCTTTCCTTAAGTATTGACAGAGGGAAGGTTTTATCAAGGTCTTTCTGATGCGCTTGTTTATAATGAGTAGACATTAGTAGAGCACATCTAAGTGCTTATCACTAACAGATGACTAAAGAGAGCATATGGCACAGAAAAAGAAATATATATTTGTCCAAGCAATGTGGCTTGTTAACACTCCCACACTCATAAACTGTGTTTACACATACTTACAATATTTTGCAAATCCCTTTTCTAATCATCTAAAAATAAAAGCCAAATAATGATTTTTTTTCCAATATTGGAGTGTCAGGCGAAGTTGATTTAGAATTTTTTTAACAAAGCAGTTAAACGGTAGAGAAGATTTTTATAGTATTTGTTTTGCTTCAGCATGACATCTTTACAGCAGTGTATGTGTTAGTTTCATTTCACAGTGTTAAAAGTTTTATTGTTACAGAATGCTTTTTGGTTCACCCACCTGTCTATCCAAGTATGACTATTATACAACTAGGTTATACTACAAGCAACAATACAGGTCATAATGACCTATGTCAAATCCTGGTCTAGATCAGGTCACAAGGTTTATTTTGACCATAAGATTTGCCTCTGTTTCTATGGGATGAAATCACCATGTAAGTTACAACACTGGCCAACAAACTGTTCATAAGCAAAAAAGTCTCTGAACTGTTAACGCAGTCTAGCTCCCATTAGAGTAAAAAAAAAAAAAGTTTCTTGCTATTAATTTCAGTTAGGAGGTAGATGGAGAAATGCTAGGGAAATCTGTACAGCTTTTGACATACAAAGTTTCTGATGATCGTTGTGTTCAGGAGTATGGCATTCATCCACCTTTTTATAACAGACAGAACACAGTATCACTGTCTTTTCTTGCTGTGACACCTAAATATGCCAGTCTATTTGTATAGTGTTATTAGAAATAAGACAATTATAGTTTAAAGATGGATTGGATTGTTGCATACTTTTCAGAAAGCATTTATAAATAAAACTACACAGAAGAGCTGCATTTACTTTGGATTTTCAGAATATTCCTAGTGAATTTTTGTTAAATATTTACATCTGGATCCAAGTATTGTCCTTCATAAAACAGTTTATTCTTGCAATTTAGCTTCATTAAAGTCATAATACTGCTTTAGGATATAATAGACTAGTGCTGTGGGATTGAATTATAAAGAGATTAATTTTAGCTACCGGAGATAATTGACCCTATAATTCCTATCACCCCTAATCCCAGTTCAAATGAACCAGTGTTAAAAGTGGCAATACTCACAATGTAGACAAGGTCATGACAGCTAGAATTGTTTTTTACTACCAATTAGATTTCCCACTTGGTGCATTTGACTAATGTTGTCATAGAAAGGGATTTCAGGCATGGAAATACAGTTTCTTTAGAGGCACACAGGCACTGGAACTGATGGGCAGTTTGCTGTACATTTCCCAGTGTACAGAATCAGAACGCAATTGAGTGCTGACCCCTAAAATTTGAATTCATATGGGGATTTAGAACATGTTTTGATCCACGATAGAGCTATGAACAAGCTAAATAATTTGAATCTGGAAGCAAACTCTCTTGGAATTCAACCATATTAATATACGGTGAGTCTAGCAGGCTTGGAGCTATCTCCTGGGGTAATACTACGTCTGAGGTGTATTTCAGATGAGGAATCAGAAAAAAGTGAGGTACTGACTGAACAGAGAATTCTTCAAAAATAAATCACGCTGATATTTAGCTGCAAATGACATGAAAGTTTCAAACTATACAAGGAAGAGATAAATGGATGTTAAGTATGATATATCTTAAAAATTCCCTCAAGTAATGGTGCCAACTTCAAACATATTAGCATAAGGACTCTTACGAAAAAACAACAGAACAACAATACTTTTGCATAGCACGTTCGGTATAAGATTATTTTTCACATTATTACTAGTTATCCATCAGCGTTTTTCCAAGCATTTAAAGATTTGAGTTTTTGCAGTAAGCTGAAACTGCGTGATAAAAAGAAACAGATAATGATAAAAAGCAGATGTATACGCAAGCCTAGCTAGAAGGTGCAAAATATACTATTACTGCCCCTCCTGTGAAGTTAATCCTATTTCTTTTAGCTATTTCTTCATTAGTTAATGAGGTCTTGAGAAAAAAAAAAAAATAAAGTATGTTTGAAATGGTGTTTTTGCACCCTTGCCTTAGGAACTTTTTCAAATATTCATAGAATAGTTTGCCCTTGGAAGGTGCACTAAGTGTGAGTTTAGGCAATAATTACTTCAAATGTGGGTGGTCAGAAACCTGCAACTGAAATGGACAAACACAGCAGCTAATCACTTTCCACATTGAGATTCACCACACTGGCTGGAGTCAAAATGTAAAATACTGGAAAAAAGAGATATTTTAATGATTTGGTTTAAAAAAAAAAAAAAAGAAACTGACTTCAAGACTTAGATCACAGATCTGCTAGCATGAATTAGATTTGAATTTGGATGCACTTTGTGGTTTGCAGTCTTATTAATGAAATATTTTCTTCTCTCTCACTTTCTATTAACAATCAATCTCAGATCAGAAGCAGAGAGTTTGGCTGCTGTGTTTGTGAAATGAGTATCAGAGGATTTATAACTACATCCCATCTCTGTCACCTCCTCCAGTGCACTTGATACCAACCAACATCTCTGTTGACCTTTGAGTAGTGAGTGTGGGATCACAGTGAAAGGGGCCTCCATCTCCTGGAAGCTTTCTCTTCATGTTGATGTTGCAGCAAACTCTGAGAGTGAAAATCTGAGACAGCCTGCAACTTCCAGTTTTTATGGCTCTCCTATGCATGAGTACAGGAAGTGCAGTTTCCATTTTCAGTTTGATATCTGGCATCAATACAGTATTTGTAGTCTCTTATTAAAAAAAAAAAAAAAAAGAAAAGAAAAAACCCTACCTTTATGTATCCACCAAAATCTTGAAGGAGTGAAACTGGAAATGGTGGATTATTCTTTTCCCAGAGTTTCAACTTAATGCCATTTTAGGCAGCATTCTTAGAATTTCACTCTCTAGAGGTGCAATTGGCTCTCCCAGGCATCTTCTGGTATTATCTTCTGAATAAGGAAAGAAGCCATCTGCCTCCAGAGCTCTCCATATGTACATAGTGTACTAGGCAAAGACTTTACATGTCTACCAGCTCTTAAAAAGCTTGATGTGGATGCAAGAAGACCATCCTGCAGCTGAGCTCACTGATCACTTCTAGACTGTTTCTTCTCAAATTGCCAACCACAAAGAAGTAATTCAAGGCTGTGAGCAGTGTCTCTATAGTGTAGGTGACTAGCAATTGAATTAAATCCATTCTGGAAAAGTTTCAAAACTGCTGATATTTTTGTTTGATATTGAATCTCCAAATGTTATAAAATTAATGTTTTATTAATTTCTACCTTTGTTATTTCCATTTTATCCCCCTCTCTCTTTTCTTTTGTTGAATTTCTAGTTTGTTTTTTCTTCTCTTTTTCTGTAACAGTCACCACAACACAAATCAATAGCACAGGAGTTCTGAGGTTTTTATTTGATGAATGTGAAGCATTTGCCTGTTATGTTCTTGTCTTCTTTTTTGCCATGAGGACATATAGGACATGTTGACAGCCAATATTAATAAGCCTAACACTAATACTGGCAGTTACTTAGTACAATTTTTAGCTGTGTTAAGTGGTCTGTAGGGAATAGTAATGCTATCCTTTAAGAGAAACTGATGTCATAGTTGCATCCAGAATTCACTGGGGTTTCTTTTATTGTTCTTATTTTCCAGGTGATTCATATAACAGGCCGGTTACGTCTGAGAGTGTCACTGTCCCACGGACGGACAGTACCCAGCCAAATCATGGGACTTGTTGTCGTTGCTCACGCTTTGCCACCTCCTACAATTAATGAAGTCAGGATTGACTGCCACATGTTTGTCACTCGTGTGAATATGGACCTCAATATCATTTACTGTGAAAATAGGTACAGCTTTTAGATCCTTTTTTCTTTGTTTTAGCTGTGTTTATTCTTTGTTCTATGGACTTGGCAAAAAGTTTTGAAATTTGTGACTCCTGCAATGTCATCCTGGGGTTGTATGAGAGCATTGAATTCACTCTCATCATCATCACCTTCATTTTCATTACATTCTTAGAGGATAAAAGTAAATCAAAAACTACAATTTGCAGGACACCTTGCTGGAATAGGGGAGGATAGACCAGGAAAGATTCCTCTAAGCTTTCCCTGCTTTTTGCAATCTCTCACCGTCCCTCTCAGAGGCAAGATTTGGGACTAGACAGACGTTGATCTGGCCTGTGTGGCTGTCCTTATGCTCCCCCATCCTCCTCTCCACAAATCTTTCTATCTGAAATTTTAAAGTTTTCCATTTTTGAACTAATTTGCAGATTACAGCACATCATGCTCGGTGTCTAGTGGAACAGAAGCACAGATGGCCTAGATAGTAGGATAGAGAGGTGGGATCTGTTGCAGCAAGAGGTGGGAAAACTGTAGCATAAAATTGTTTAGGGGCATACTGGGAAAGACAGCAGTGAAATGGGAACAGGTGATGCGAAGTTGGTTGAGGGGGGGCTATGTGTGATGTGATAGTGACAAGTGATCTAGGAAGGTGGAGGATAGGATTTAAATTCAACTGTCTGCTCCCTGGAGGCTGAGTGTCGGTAACACTGGGAGCTCCCCATGGTGGTCTGTCAGGGCAGCCAGCCCACCAGCCAGGAGCGAGGCAGCCATGGGGCATGGGGGCAGCCCGGGACTTCAGACACCTCCCTGGGGACAAACTGCAAGTGGGCCTGGGTCAGCAGGGCCCACGGCGGGGCAGGGCAGGGCTGTGGGGAGCTGGAGACCCCGTTACAGCATTGCTGGACAGGGCTGATGGTCCCGAGGGGTTGACATGGTGTTCTGGGCTGTGGGCAGGACGGGGGAAGGCCTAGAGGAGATGGTCAAGATCATTAAGGCTTATTGGTCCCCTCAGAATCCTGAAAAATAAGAATAAAGTGAAAGGAATGGGTATTTAGAGCAAAGTGAAGATATCTAAGAAGAACAATACAAGTAATAAAGAAGTTTGTGTCTGTAGATGGAAGTCTGAGGTATGGGGGAAGGGTTGGAATGAAAGAAAGAAGGTCATGCAGCCAAAAGACATTTTTTCAAGGGGATCTATCATCAAAAAGTGGAACAAACAAGATTACTAATGCAAGTTTTTCATGTGACAGCAGCCATGGCATGTTATAAATTAAGAGTGGAAGCTCTCTGATATGAGCAATTGTAATTGCTCAATCAGAATGGAATACCTATGATCAGGATAGCACATCGAGATAAACTTTTATAAAAAGGCATAAACCCAAATGCTTTGTTGAATCAGGGCTTTAATCTAAAATAATCTTGGATTTCAGTTATGATATTATCTTTGCTGTCATGTTACTGAACTACCACAACAGTATTAATAATAATATTACTTAGCTGTTAGAGAGAACACTTCATCTAAACTTCCAAAGCATTATCTAAAAGAGAATATATTATTCTCATTTTTAAGCCTAGAAAAACTGCTCCATAGGAAGCAGCTTGCACAAGGTCACAGAGCAAGCTAGTAACAATATTAAAGTTTGGGCTGAGTTTTTGCCTGTAACTCTACTCAATGAGCGTCTAGATTCTCTATAATCTGGCAGCTGGTGAAAGAGCTCTGGGGATTAGCAGTAGGATCTAGAAGAAACCTTAGTCTTTGATTTGACTGTGACCTACCTAGGTAGTAATGGAAAGCTGCTACCACCGCAGAGCTCTTCAATGACCTCTGTGAAGTGAGTTACTAGTATCTGTCCAGTTCCTAATGAACAGATTTCCTTTTAACAAAATCACCTGCACTTGCTGTTACCCTCATTGGCAACCTCAATAAAAAAGCCAAGAATCAAATGGATGTGAAAAATGAACTATTCCGTCAGGTCAAGTATGATATGAATTTGTTGGCTGTGTTAGAAAGATTTATACTTTCTTTGCCGTCAGTTTGGCATTTTTATGAGCCTTAAATTGTATATGTTTTTTTTTTAATTAAACATTTTTCTCAAACCTTCCCTTTACGTTCATGTAGCAATAAAACTTTCAAACGCCTGAGAAGGGCGTCACCGAAAAACACAAAATGCATCAGACATGGAGCACTGATTAGTAATCACATAGAAAGAGCTGATAACATGTGGTAAACTGTGGTAAGCCAGCTGATTTATGCAAGAAAGTGTTGAGCTTACTAATGTTTTTCATTCATTAAGGTAAAAGCAACATTATACAGCAACTTTTCCTTGTTTGTGATGGATTTTGTCTCATATGCTAGGGTAGAATGCATATGATGCTACTTGAATTTATGTTGCAATAATTCCATTTTAAGCCCCTGAGTCAGTGTTAAAAATAGTTTATAAAATAGTTTATAAAAGGAATTTCGAATAGGAGAAACACTTCTGCCAGAGCTGGGAGGTGAATGTTAGCTCACTGGGGCCACAGGATTTCCACTGATGGAAAATGGAGTAAGAATGAAAGGACTTGGATTTCATAGCAGATACAGATGACTGTAAAAGCTGGAGGAATGGAAAGGACAGAAGAAGAGAAGGAATTACCTGAACAGCTGATTAAAGCTGTCAGATGAATTACCTGGGCATTTGCCAAGGCCATTCTCTGAGTCGAGGTAACTGGGATCTCTCTTTTGGGACTATAGAAAAGGAAATAAGTATCCCATCCTGAATATATGGGCTTGACTCCTGGCACTTGCAGGCAACTGGGAAATTCTTTGTGGTGCCACAGTAAAGCAAGCACAACATTGATGAAAACAGAGAAAAATGGATGCATGCTGGGGAAGCTGTAAACACTATTTATGGAGTGATGGGGAGTTACTGACAGCCGTGGGGAGTATGGAGCAGAAGCCGTGCTACTTAACTGAAATGAATGGTCACAGTGGACCATTGGATCAGCAGGGGTGAGATCAATAGTACTCCTAGTTTTCCAAATGGTTGCCTGCTTGCAGCAGCAGGGAGCAGGAGTGACATTACTCAATTCTTTGGGTGCATCTTGTTCCTTTCCTCTAAATGAAGAGATCTGCATCAGAGTCCTGGACTCAATGCACAAGCTAGTCGACAGTAAGCTTCCCTTTGAGACAAGACCCATTAACTAGTGCCCTGGCTATTTCTAACAATTAATATTTTGTTCTGAGAGTGTTAAATGGGGACGTAAAATTTTGTTGCCTAAAATGTGGTATGTTAATCCGTGTCTGTTTTACAAATGTGAGATTCATATAATCTAAACTTCACCATCTAGTCCAAAATAGTCTTTAATTTCTCTATTAGTCAGTAGAGAGAGAAAAGCACCTGCAGAGGACAAATCATCTTAGACAGTGATAAGAAACTAAAAGCAAAATAAAGAGGCTGTTGCTAGAGTGCAGCATCAGTCTATGTATTTTCGGTGTCAATTGTTAGTGATTGAAGACCATTTGGAGAGAGCCTATAGCCTAGTTTAATGTGGTCCACTATAACCTTATCTGCTAATATATGCCCAAAAGGAAATAACTCACTCAATATGGTGTTTTCCAAATGGAAGAGGTTTGGCCTGTTGGCCATGACAGTTGTTGCTAATAGTTCCTTCAGATATACAGAAACAGTCCGGTGTATAGAGTCTCAAGCCTACGAAAGCGTGCACAATTTGGTCCTCATTCAGCAAAGCACTGTACCATACACCTACCTTTAAATTTCAGTCATGTTAACAGTCCTGTACATCAGTGGAACCACTGATCTGCTCAAACATAAGCCTGTGCTTATGTTTTACAGGATCAGGTCTGTGTGTTCAGCAGAAATGAATTCCTACCCATCAACCCCTTGCTTTATTTTGTCAAAGGGCTTGAGAGCCACAAGATCTGTCTCCTAACTAGTACTCTAAGATATACGATATTTCTTTCTTTTTTCCATGCATATTATTTATTTCCCATCTTTGATACCTTTGATATAAGCATGAATGTCCTATTTGTTGTAATTTCTTTTGCTTCTTGTTTTGGTGTCAGTGCCTGCCAGTGGTCATCATTTACATTTGGATATTATTTCTGTTTATCCTTCCACTTTTTTCATCAAAAAAATCCTATGTCTTTCATATGTCTGTTTGAAACAGCTTTTTTTCAATGTTATAGAATCATAGAATCATTTAGGTTGGAAAAGACGTTTAAGATCACCATGTCCAGCCATAAACCTAACACTGCCAAGTCCAACATTAAACCATGTCCCTAACTGCCACATGTACAGGTTTTTTAAATACCTCTAGGGATGTTGACTCAACCACTTCCCTGTGCAGCCTGTTCCAATGCTTGACAACCTTTTAAGTGAATAAATTTTTCCTAATACCCAATCTGAACCTCCCCCAGTGCAACCTTAAACTCAAAGGATTGTGAATCTGTTTCCACAGTTGCCTTGCTATGTTCATTTTTATCTGTAAAGACTTTACACAAACATGCTGCTGCAGAAAAGCAAGATACAGATGAGTCAAATTTACCAGAGGGGGAAGCAGAACAATCATTCTCTGTGTTAGCCCTGTGGACTGTAGCACTCACAGCCTGGGTAAATCACAGGGCAGTGGCCTGCCTGGAGATTGCCCCTTTCTACTAGGCTGGGCAAGGTGAGACTTCGTCTCCCTGGTCTTGAAGCAGAGTCACTTCCTAACAGAAAACAGTTTCTGGGCCAGAGAAGAGCCAGCAAAGTGTGCCAGTGAGGAGAGTGTAGACATGGAGGTGAGGGGAGAGACTTTTGAGGTCTGGTTTCTGCCCTATGGACTATTTATACACTTAGTTTAGTATAAAAAGATAATACACAATCCAGGGGACAGGAACCTTTAAATCGCAGACTCCTTTCCTTCTGGTGAGGTTTATCACTGGGCAGACATCCCAGGTCCTTTGTTTCCCAGACCCTAATTCATTGCTCAGACAAAGTGGAGGAACTCAGCAGGAGGGATAGGGAGTCCCGCTTGCCAACGTTCCAGACTTGTCTTTATCCTGGCGAATTGTGTCCTCTCTGGGAAGGCAGGAGAGGTGCTTTTCAACTGTGGTTTGTGATGAACATTAGACGGTTATGCCCCGACGGGTATCCCACCTTTGGTTTAAGTGCTGTAACTACTAGGCAGTTGTTTGAAAGTGCGCATCCTTCAACATGCTCTGTCATGAAAGTGAGAGAAGGCTATTGTATTTTGTGCTAAACTTGATTTGACAATTTTTATAAGCAAACTTGAGTCCACTCGCTTTACCTGTGATGCTTTTCATGGTTGTTTGGGGTTTTTTAATTAAACAAACCACCAGTGCTACTATGGTGCTGCCTAATGCTTCCATTCTCCTTCAGTCTATCCGTTCTCCCTGCCCAAACACCCAGTCAAACACAGCTCTGCTCATCAGTGCCTCAATGGCTGTGTTCGCCCCCTCTGCCTGCTGAGAACCCCTCAGACCTACATGGTTCAATTCTTGATTTAGCCTCCCCACTCTCCTTCCTCAGGATCACACTCGGTTGTTTCAGCTATCTGACTATATCAAAATGTTTGGTGTTTCTTACAACTCCCTTAAATGGGTGGCAATTATATCGTAAAATTGCAAACTGGGCTTAACTCCAATCATTGCAGCATATTTCAAACCCTAAAAAAATATTCTGTTTCTAGAAATCTGACATATTTTTAGATGCTTATGTGAACAAGGCATTTTCCAATTGGTTTGTTATTTTCTGTACTGCATTTAAGGACATTGACATCTTGACACTTCATGACAGAAGTTTACACATGCACACAGACACGAGCATGCACACACACATAGACGCACGCACACAAAGGTCTGCAGAATAGATTTTAAAGTTTCTATGTGAAATAAACAACAAAGTCCCAGTTGAAAGGGCCCAGAGTGAAAGCTGAGCTCCCAAATGAATTAGACTAAAAAAGATACCACCCTGAGGCATCTGTATGTCTCAGCATTTAAATTATATCCCTTGAAAAATCAGTTTGGACTTGGTGCCAAGAAATGGTTGAAGAGCTTTTTCATTAATATACCCAATAGAAGACCAATCTGTTGAAATGAAATGTGTCTCTAATCATTTGGTATAAACATAACATGGTTTTACTTTATTATGTAACCTTGAATCATCTTGGTCTTTTAATGAGGATTTTGGATTGTTGCTAATGCTTTACAATTTCATGGAATTATATTGTCTTACTGTTATGCTGCAGGGAGAATATGCACTAGAATTTAACTTTCTACTTATTTAAATGAATAAAATTATTTCAAGGTTTCTTTAAAAACATTTTCTTTCTTTTTTTTCTCTTTAAGGCTGTGTCTTGTTTGTTCAGATATTCCGTTCAAATCACTATAGTGGTGAAAAAACTTTTTAGCAGATTTCGCTTTCTGAGTCATTTGACAGTTCTTGTACTCTCTTCTTGAATTACAGGCTGTATCTTTTTTCCTTTTTAGGATTAGTGATTATATGGATCTGACCCCTGTAGATATCGTAGGAAAGAGATGTTACCACTTCATTCATGCTGAAGATGTGGAAGGCATCAGACATAGTCACTTAGACTGTAAGTACTTCCATTTTTGTGAAAATAGTCTGGTACAACTCTTCATTGTCCCTGAACTATTATTTATTTTCCACAACTGGGATCTTCATCTCACACCTACTTTTTTTGTCACAGGGTTTCATAGAGGATGGCTCAAATGTAACTTTTTGTATGATTTATTTTCAAGTCTTTTTATAGACATTTAAGATTGTTCACATATGTCGAAAGAGAAAAATATATTTGTATTACCAGAGTTTCCAGCAGCTGTTCATTTACACATGCTGTGTTTTATTTTACTCCTTCAAAGAGGTATTGCTTAGGTGAGAAACTCCCTCCCTAGCACAGAAAATTATCTCCTTTCTTTGTTTTTATTTCTGAATCATAACGTGGAGGTCAAAGACTGCAGCATACTTGGGATTTCACCAGGTTTTTCGATACAGAACTGAGCTATAGCACTACCAGTGTTTTAACCACCCCATGTATTAACAACTAAACGGCCCCCATCCCTGTAGCATCTTAAGTCCCTGTTATTTGCACACAGGTAGTATCTGATCAGGATAAGGATAACAGAAATACAAAAATGTTACGAGACAAACCTTACCAGAGAGCATTTGCATATGTCTGTGTATGGGGGAAGGGAGTTTCAGCTTGATTCCTTGTAATTAAACTCTTTGTATTCCTCTTATTAAAAGCCATAGGGCCTAATTCTTTTCTTGTTGAGATCTGTTGACTTCAGTGATGGTGCTCCTGATTTACCCTGGTGCGAATAGAGACTTAGGCCCATAATCTCTAATTTATCTGTGCCTGCAGTGAAGCCAGATAATTCTTTTGAAAGTTTCAGTGACTGACTGCGTTTATGATTGACTTGTGTGTTTTTTCTTGATGTAAAAGACTATCTGCAAACTGCCTCTTAAATTCAGAGTTACAGATTTGAATAACCGGTCCCCTTGCACCATGTACTGCTAGAATTTCCTAGTAAAAGGGTAGCAAGCCAAATACAGTCACATTTAATTAGCTTTTACAAAGCCATATGACTACAATAGAAGGCAGTATAAATCTTCAGTCTGAAAGTACCTTGCTTGATCTGCAAGGGAAGATAGGAGGATAACAGCAACTGGAAAGCAGGAAAACAGGAACAGCTTCTATGATGATATATGGCAGCCAACAACAGTATAAAGTTCTGTAAAGCTTTCAAATAGTCCCTGAAGTTTCTAGAAGGTAAAGTGCATTTGGAATAAGAAGGTCAGGTTAGATACATTTATGTGGGGAAAAACAACAAACAAACAAACATACAACAACTATCCAAAATTATAAACAAAGTAATTTTGCATCATTTACATTTTCAGCATTTAATATCCAGGAGAATATGTCAGTTGCTCAGAAAAGAAGGAAAAAATTCGGAAACTTACTTGATGCTTTTGAAACTAGAAGTCAAAAATTACAAAGTGTACTTCCACTGCACTATCTAACCAAGGAAATAAAAGATATTTATGACTTAGACTTAAAATACCACCTGGCAGAGATGAACATCTCATTTGAAAAAGACCTTAATCTTCTGAATGACCACTTCTCTCTCAAATAGAATATGCTTTATGAAACATTCATCTTCAGAAAACTTAGAGACCTATGCAGAAATTGTAAGTGCAGTGTGGTCCAGCACTGGACTAGGAATAGGACTCAGGAGACATAGAGACAGGAATGATTTCTAGAAAATCACTTTACTGTGTTACTGCTCTCACTGTATGTCCAGCTTAGCTGATTGGAGATTACAAGCTTTATAAACACAGGGACTTTCTCCAGCACAGTGGGCTGCAAAACTTGGCTGTGTGGCTATAGCATAATTATTCTTGGTAGGCTAATTTTTTTTTAATAGATGAGGCTTTTACATCTTTTATGTATAGTTGTTCTCTTGGCTTATAGAAACAAGATGTTCATAAAATCCTTCAGATTGGAAGGGATTCTGAGACATCATCTAGTCTCACCTCATGCTCAAAACAGGATCAACACTGATTCGAAGCAAATTGCTTAGCACTTTGTCTAGTTGATCTTGAAAACCTTCAAGGTCAAACTTTTCACAACTTCTCTGAGTGGCCTGTTCCAATTATCCTTAATAAGGCCTTAATTATCCTCACAGTGCTTCTTTTTTTTTGTCCTTCTATCCAGTTGGAATTTCCCTGGTTTGATAGTGCAGCTCATGGCTCAATCTTTACAATAACCTCCTTGCAGATATGCTGTTAGGTTCCCCTGAAGCCACTGCTTCCTCAGGCTGAAACATCCTGGTTTCGCCACCTTTCCTCACAGGGAAAGTACTCCAGCCCCTGACCATTTTGACAGACCTCTGCTAAGCTCACTGAAGTTTATCAATATATTTCCTATGCTGGGTGCCTAAGATTAGGTTCCAGATGCAATCTAAAGAGTGATGACTGAAGGGGAATAATGACTTTCTGTGATCTGGCTGTACACATTTTAGTACAGCCCATAGAGCACACTGCTGATTTATGCTTAGCATGCTGTCCACCAGGACGACCAGGTCCTTTTCAACGAAGCAACAACCCAGCCAGTCAGTCCCCAGCCTGTACCATTTTAGGGAATCAGACCACCCCAGGCACAGGACTTTGCATTTATCTTTTCATGTTGTTTGAACTTCTGCTCTGGATGAAACATCCTCCAAGTTTAAATTAGACTTGGGAATAGCTCAGGAAGTATACCTGCCCATTATAACTCCTGCAGAAGCTGAAGTGGTTCATATCTTTGTCCAGAGAGATGCTTGACTCTTCTAGCATTTGGAAAAAAAAAAAAAAATGTAGAAAAACTAAGAGAAAGATATTGTAAACCACCAAATAACTTCATAGTAACTTGTCCATCCTAGAAAATCAAGTTCAAACCAAAGTAGAAAGAGAAAATCCTCCTGGTTTAGTGAAAATAAAATTAGAGCTAAAATTCAGGAACTTGCAGACACTGGCTGTAGGTGGTAAAACCCAGCAGAACTGCAGCTCCCCAAAACAGACAATACAGGAGATTTGCCAGTACAACCTAGGAAATAACTACTTGAGATTACAATGAACCAAAAAAAAAAAAAAAAAAAAAAAAAGCAGTATTATGTAATATTTTGAAGAGGAGCTGGAAACCAAAGTAATAGTTAGAAAGCCCTTTTGCAAAGCAGAAGCAGGACTTCAGAAAGCAGCAAACTGAGAAGGTTGTATTTGATGGAGGACTGCAGAATTCAGCTAAAAATTTTGATTGATTTTTACAGGAGAGAAAATAATTTTTAAAGATTAAAACAAGAAGAATTCCAAATTGCAATGGTAGATCTAAGGGTAAAAAGAAACACAAATAAAACTGCTACTCTGCCTATTCACTGGCAACATATCAGGAAAAAATGGAGAAAATAAGACCAGTACATCCTGCCTTCTCATCCAGGTTATTCAAAGACATCAAAGAGGAAAACAAGCAAAGAAGAAAATGTTGCACAAAATCACACAAAAAAAATCAAGAGGGCTGTTGATGGCTTCAGATCATAGAAGCTCATTAGAAACTTTGAAAAACAGGCCTTGTTAATGCTATCACAGATAAAAGAAGACAAAAGCTTTTTCAGGAATGTGACCATAACAAGCATAACGGTGCAGAAGATCTGCAGGACTATAGCAGTGACTACAGTCTTTTGTAAGGGAACTGCTGCCCTAATGAAAGGTCAGTTACAGTCAATGGAAAAGCTTTCATTGACTTCAGTGGACATGGGGATTATACCCTAAAAAAAGCAAATTTATATAGACTAAAATTCTGATCCCAGTGAATTAAATAGCAAAAATTCCATTAGGCTCAGTAGGGTCAAGATTTCTACTTAGAAATTTATGTTAGCTATAGCTTGATGCCCTTGTGGATTAATAAAACAACATTCATACTCTAACTCTACATGTGCCTGCGTTTATTCCAACCCATTAATACATGATGGTGATCCCACAAGTTATTGAATCATCAATTTTTTTTCAAACAAAAATAAAAATTTTAGGGATCTTATTTCTATTTTGTTTCATTCAAGATTTCAATGGTCATGCTTTTTCATAAATCTCCCAGCCAGTTTTTTGGTGTTACAATTCTACCTTATTAATCTGTTTCCCTTTTTATAATGCTTCATGGTTTCAGAAGTTTGGGAAACTTCTTATTTGTTTGTATTTGCAGTATTTGTTGAACAAATTGCTGGTAGAATCCTGATAGATATCACTTACCAGAAATCAAGTCTCTCTCACAGAGATTATAGTTTGAATGTTCTCTAGTCTAACAGCCTGTACACCGTCCAGCATCCCAGCTCAGCTGTTGGCTCAAATGACACAGAGCAACTGGCTAAGCTGCAACAACTTGTGTTTGAATCTGAACCCTCAAAAATTACAGGCCTAGCTGTACCCTGGCTCAGGTACAGTCATTAATCCTAGTTTTGTGTAACAGAGCTCTTCATTAGGATACGTGGCACAAAAGAGCTGGATTTGAATGTTTTACGTTTCATAGTTATGCATCTAGAACTAATACCCTTGAAAGACCCCTCATGCCCCTAGTTCTACTTTGCCGTTTGTAAGAATAGGCAAGGTGATTGGATCTTCTCTTTTTACTTACCTCTGCATAGAAACATTGCAGGGCTGAACTATGTGTCAAGCATAAGGCAGTTCATACACTTTCACCAAGCCATGAGTCCCTGCATAGGCAGAACTGCCCTTATTCCAATGACAAGAAAATATAGAATCATAGAATCATAGAATGGTTAGGGTTAGAAGGGACCTTAAAGATCATCTAGTTCCAACCCCCCTGCCATGGGCAGAGAAATCCTCCACTACACCAGGTTGCCCAAAGCCTCATCTAACCTGGCCTTAAACACTTCTAGGGATGGGACATCCACAACTT